AGGTTATCTAAAAGCCATATTAGATCAGAAACAATACTGATCTTTACGAAAAAAGTAATTATTAATAACAGCTTAACTGATAATATATCAAATATGACGCTATTAAAGAACTACTAGGACTGTCTGTAAAATATAAACACTGACAGTTTATGCTATTATTTACATAACTTACATTATGGATAACTCTTTTTTGCTTACCGATATGTCTTCTGCTTGTGTTAAGTATGTATAGATATTTGTAAATTGTAAATGTTTAGCAATATCCTGAGCGGTGAGACCCTGGTTCGTCTTAATCTTCGTCTCAGCACCATTTTGTACTAAATGTTTAACAATATCTAAATGTCCATGTTGTGTAGCCATCAACAGTGGACACCATCCTTTTTCATCTCGACGATTCAGATCGGCACCACTATCAATCAGTAATTGAATCAAATGTGAATGGCCGAATCTCGAAGCATACATCAAAGGAGTGGTGGTAACACTAGAAGTAGTTGGTTCAACTTGAGCACCATGCTCTAATAAATATTTACAGCACAAATACTGATTTTGAGCAATAGAAGATATAGTTGATTTACAGCACGAATGAGTAGCCATACAACATGCCATTAATGGACTACAAAATAAAAATAAAAAAATAAATTAGTAACGTCAATTTTCAACAAATATTTGTTCACTTCTTGTTCTTAGGACGATTGTTAAATAAACAGAAATAAATATTATTAGAAAGTCAAAAAATTTAATAAACATGGAGTATTACACGTACGCCTTGGTTTCATTAAAAAGCTATTTATCAAGTAACGACACTTCTTAATTCAAAACACTTCCATCTATCACTGCTTTTATAACTTTCTTTAGTATATATTTCAGTTACCTGCACTCCTGATTTGCACCACCATTCACATTTGCTCCTTTTTGTTCGACCAAATATTTGACAATTTCTAACTGACACATGTATGATGCATAAATTAATGAATTCCATCCACATGTAAAACGTTGTTCAACATCCATTTTATTGTCTTTGTATAACTGACATAGTGTGACTAGATCGCCTTTATCAGTCGCTAATTTAATACGATGTTCGATATCAGTCGAAGGAGAGTTAGATTTTGTAGATCGTGAAAATGAGGATTCAGATAATTTTGTGGTTAATAAACGTGACTTAAGACGACGAATGTCAAGTGTTTCTTCATTGTCACTATCGCTACTTGTACGACTGCGGGCATCACTTTCGGCAGTATCATCTTCTTTAGACGATATAAGATGAGAATTACCGTTTTGCAGCAACGTTGAGGTCATTTTGTATTAAAAAGATTTGACCTAAAATAAAAAGAACCAGACTATGATTTATATTAAAAATTATTATTTTAGTTTCTATTAAAAATCACACTAGTCTGTTGGAATCACAAAAGTTACTGCGATATCACACCATCCTACAGGATACTGGGAGAAAACTAAAGCGATAACTCATTAAACACAAACTGGAAATAACCAATGATGAAGTGTAAATATTCAGAAATTTCCACTGGATGTTTTTTTTTCTAGACAACAACTGAACATCTTGATAAAATATTTGTACGGTAGATAGCTAATGCATTTTTCAACTCTCTCAATTAATATTATTACATATTTAAAACACTGGAGAGTGTTACATAAAAATTCTTAAGTGCTCGCCCTAACTAAGTCTTCGTTTTGTACACTTAGGTGTTAATTTTATACGCTTAAGACTGACTTAAGTCTAGACTTAGTTAAATCGAGCACTTAAGAATATTTATGAAACACTCTCCTGAGCAATATTCGTCTAATATTAAAATAAAGAACTCACTTTTAAGCAAAATACAACAGTTTTCTTGCTAGATCATGATGCTAGAGAAAGATTATATTGACTCAAGTCGAATCAGCTTCTGTCACTTCTAACAAATAAAATGAGCCTTCTCAAGAGTGCGCACCGATTGATTATGGTTAAGCTATCCTATAAGTAAACAACTGTAGCATTAGTCATTTGAGATTTTCTTTGATTCTGTTCAATGAGATAGCTTTACCAACTATTCATACGTATAACAATTTATATCTTCATTACAGTTTTTGTTTTTGGGTTATTAACTGTCTTATTTCTGATTTTATGCAACTACTTAGCAATGTGTTCTATTTTCTGTTTAGGTACCAAGTCAAACTATAGTATGTCAGACGCCATCCGAATTAGAATTACTTTTGGAAATTAGTGAATTGGATCATTTAAAACCATTATTTATTAATAAATATTCAACATCAGATGATTTATTAGAAATTGACTTAGACTCTATTATTGAAAATGTCGCCGATTGTCAAAAATTAAAATTAGCTTTACAAGAAGTGAATTCATCTTGTCCAGCAGATGAATGTGAAGCTGATTTAGAATTAGATCAAATTGATCAAGATTTACAACGGATAGATGCCTATATTGAACAGATAGTGCAGTCGACTAACAATCGAAAAACATTTATTAAACGGCATACAACAACCATTGTTGCTATAACAGCTTTTGTAGCTGTTATTGGTTGTTTTTTATTTATAAAAAGAAAAAGATGATACAATTTATGTAGATATTTATTTCTATTCGATTATTTTATTGAATTTTCTGTATTTTTTTTTCTTTTTTAAATGGAATAAGTAATTAATTTTGAAGTGAGAAACAAGTTTAATAATCTATAATTTTCTATTTCGTTCTCCTAATGGAGACTCCTATTTATTACAAACACAAGAATTAAATTAATGAGCTAAGGTTCAACGCTGCTTACACTTGCAAATTTGTTGACATATTACATCATTGGATAATTACATTCGTTTTTCTGTTTTATAATAACTATTTCAATGCTAATTTTTATAATAATTGATATAATTAAGACAGAATATGTGAAAGATAAGTGTTTTTGAAAGACAATTAAATTTTATCTCAATCCAGCATTGATCATTTTTTCACAGTAACATAAAATAAAAGGTATTTAGGTCAAATAACTCACGGCAAAATTTTGTTATGATATATACAAAGTATTATTATCTTTATTAAGTTAATCATTCGATTTTCAGAGACAGTTTCTGTTATTGAAGTATAATAACAAAATTTCTTTTCTATTTAGTATGTTTATGTATGTAAGTACTATAAAGCTAATGATGCATAACGAATCAAATGTATGCACATGTTAGCTAATAGCCACATAAAGGATTATGAACATAGAATTTATACAGTGAGGTATGTAAGTAAGAGAGAAAGATAAATTAAGTATAGTAAAAAATATAAAGGTATAATATGAAAGCGTCAAATAGTCAATAGATAAAAATCAGTGTTCAGTATAATTGGAGTAGAATGATGTGTCTTACGCGTACGTACATGAAATATACATTTCAAGAATATTCTGACAGTTATATGCTAAAATACGACTATTTTTTACCTTCAAGAAAAAAAAAATACGAACGTTACTCTCCACAGATGTCTATCTATCGTTTTTTTCTTTTTCAATAACACGCTTGAAAAAATCCGGTGGATAACCTTAAGAAATAAGTGTAAACATAGTAATTAATGTTTTTCACAAATAAATGACGTCTACTTCATAAAAAAATAAAGGACAAAAGATTAAAAAAACGAGATACGTTGTATATTTTTGAATTTTGAACAAAAAATAAAAAAAAGAAAATAAAATTTTAGATAAATAATTTTCTTTTTTTTTATCAGTACGAAGGTCAGTAGTAATAATTGTTTTTACACCTTTCTAATGAAAAATACTAAATGGCCAAGGTTAAAAATATAGACGAAACATAATATTAATCGAAATAGCATATCTTTATACATAGTGTATATGTTTCCTATATCGTCATTTTGAAATTGATATTTTTAAAATTATGGGACAAAACAGTTAGAGTCTAATTGCAGGCTCTTGTTTGTGTTTTCTACTAACAGGAGAAATTTTTAAATTTAAAGTTTATAAAGATAGGTAATTAGATGTCAGGTAACTATATCTAGACGAAACCTTCATTTATCATTATTATCTAAAACTGTGTGAAAGTCCTTGCTTTATTTAAAAACATAAATTTTAAAATATGCTTCAGTCGTGTGACTGTATCAAGAACACTTGTAGTATAAGTCTAGTTTATTTCAATAATGTTTTTATTTTTGGCAAAGAACAAACTCTGATTATCTAAGATAATTATTAGTTTTTTAACAGTTCTCTTTGAACAAAATGCCTATGAATAAGTAAGTCATTTATATGTAAAACTGTATGAGTCAATTTTTTTAAGATAGACTATAGTTTTATTATATGCTTTTTATTTTTACATATATCTGTGTTTCTCTCAAATTTCAACGTTACTTCTGCATATATATATCGTTAATTACGACGTACATATTGATCTCGAAACAAGGCTTCCTTTTCTCTTTAGTGTGAGTGAAAACAATCATCTCCTCAAAGAAAGAAGAGTCTTCTTTCAATCATATACCGTTGAAATACTTAATCGATATAGTTTTTAATAAACCAACATGAGTAACGACGCAGTTCAAGTTAAAGAACATCAGCGGGATGACAATGTGGAAACATCAAAAGAGAGCAACAGTGATGATAATAAACCAGAAAATAACGAAAAACAAGATAAAGATCGAGTTTCATCTCCTAATACCGTGACTACTAGCGAAAAACCACCCAATAATGAGGAACAACAATCGCTGCAAACGACAAAACCAACGCAAACATCAGTGCCAGATAACGTGCAAAGCTCATCAACGATAAACACATCAAACCAAATTATCGACCTGACATCTCCTCAAATGTCTTCAAACGAGGATGGTAAAAAATCCTTAGAGCATACTGAAGTGAAAGCACCACCATCTGACGGTAGTGAACCTATTGTTGATAAACATACCGAACCAACAACGACGCCGTCTAATACTGAACAAACGGCCTCTCTATCATCTAACACAAAAAAAGACGACGAACAAAAACAAACTTCATTGCCGCAAGATCAAAAACCAGCCGAATTAACACATAGGGATTCGAAGCCGGACATTCAAACCGATGATAATAAAGAATTCACTACGAATTTAAATACTTTGTCAACACCAGCACCAAGCAGCGGTTCTGATCAGGGTCATGACGCGGCGCCAACATCGACCACAACTCATGAATTTGATCGAAATCTGAATCAAAAACCGTCTGAACCAAATACTGATGGAAAGTCAACACAGTTATCAAGTTCAGATTTGAACAAATCTCCCAGTCAAGATGATCAAAAGCACTCACAAGAAGGGCAACAAACATCAACGTTTGTGCGATCAACTTCAAGTAGCCTCCGTGTAGCATCTCCACAAAATGAGCAACAATCAGCGGATAAAAAGCCATCGGAAATAAGTTCTGATGAATCGAAAACAGGCACGAACCAAAGCGATTGGGAACGTGGGCAGCAAGCGGAACAACCAACATCATTGCAAAATAAGCAGCAGAATATTGATCAAAATAAGCAAACGAATGCTGATGAAAAGTCGGTTCAGCTATCGGATTCAGAGGCGAGTAAGGTTGATGAAAAACAATCTCGATCATTCTCGCCACAGCACCATCGAAAGGATTCACAAACGACTTCAGACAAGCAACTACGTTCACAATCATCAAAAGAAGAAACAAGAGTATCAAATAATACCCAAAAAAATGGTGATGACAGTGATTTTCACATTCGTCCAGGTGACCGCGAACATTTGACAGAATTTCAAAATCACAAAGCCAGTTACTTTTTCGAAGTCAATTTGGGTGAGTAATACGTTAAAATTGAATCATTTCAGTCCTATTGTACATCAATTATAGTCTTACAAAACAGATTAGATAAACTGGCGGACATAATTTTAAATGAATTTTTGTTTTCGTGATTTTGTGTCTCCTATACATGATGTAGCTGAACATCAACTCTCTGGATACCAACTGGATACCAACACTGGTATCTATCTGGTCTAGAAAA